GGTTCACACTTAGGAGCCTTGGATGATGACATGTGGAGGGTGAGGATTCACCCACTTATTGACCTAGGATAGGTGCACTTGTTGGCTTAGATGGTTGACAAGTGTAGGCTTAAGATTAAGCCTAGAATGAATGCTTGGATTAGTGACAAGTGTAGGCTCCAAAATTTGTCTTACAATTAGTATGTGTGTGAGAGGTAGTGCAAGAGCACATAGTGAGTGGAGAAATACACTAAAATTAGTTTAGGTATTTCATTTTTAATTTAATTCATCTCTTTCCTCTGAAACCCTAACCTAGCCACTATTGAAGCAAAGCTTGGCTTAGAGCTTTAAGCTTCATTTTGGTCCCCTTCTACTCACCTATGACCTAAAAGCTTGGAATACAAAAGTTTTATCTCACCTTCCTCTACAAAACCCTTGAAGAAAATCTTGAAATTCCTTTGCTTCCCTTGGATTCAAGAGGAACAATCCTCTTGTGAGGTAGGAGATGATTTATGTTTAAAATCTATAATTTTAAATGTTTTTGTAGCTTAAAATAATTTGTATGCATGTCTTTAACATAATTAAAAAGTTGGTTGGTAGTAGTACCTTACATGAAATTAAGCTAAGACATGATAATTAGAAAGACCATGACTTGATCTATAACTTATGTTAATTTAAATTCATTTGGAGTTGTTTTGAAACCTAGAGCAATTAATTAACTAAGCTAATTAATTTTTATTTATATGTTCCATTGATTTAAATTAAGTTTTGACTTGATATACGTAATGGCAATGATATGTTCTTTAGCATATATTAAATTGGAAGCATTTGGAGTTATTTTAAAATCTAGAAATTTAATTATTTTATTTTAATTAAATTCTATTTAATAGTTCCACTTATTTGATTATGTTTTTAACATGATATTAAATTAATCCACGATATGTTCTTTAACATATATTAAATTGAGAATATTTGGATGAGTTTTGAAATATAGAGATTTTAATTAAATGAATTAATTAAAATCTATTTAATGGTTCCATTGATTTAATTAGGTATTTAACTTGAGATATATAATGACCTTGACTTGTTCTTTAACTTATAATAATTTAGAATCATTTGGAATTGTTTTAAGATCTAGAGATTTAATTATTTTAAATTAATTAAATTCTATTTAATTGTTCCAATGATGTAATTAATTATTTGAATTGATATATATAATGACCATGCCATGATCTTTCACATATATTAATTAGAGATTATTTGGATGAGATTTGAAATCTAAGGACATTAATTATTTTATGTCATTAATTTTCATTTTGTTGTATTAATAATTTAATCATGTATTTGATGTTGCTTGCATGTTTAAATCATGATTTTGGTCTTGTTGTATATTCATGTGATTATGATTTGAAAGCATATTTAGTATATATTTATATATTGTATAACATGTTGTAGTGAATTGTTTCATTTGCTAGCTTTTTAAATTCTAGAGATTTTGTTGTTGTGTCGATGAAATCTTGTGTAATAATCATGAAGTTTCTTTTAAGGTTTATTACTAGATTGTTGTATCCCTAGTAATTGTAGCTTGCATTATCATGACTTGGTTTAATTAATATTTAGGAATTAAAAGCATGTGTTGCTTATGAATATTTCATAGAGGTTATTTGATTTAAAAACTTGTTAATTCCTAGAAATGTATCTTGTTGTGTATTACTATATTTACCTTGAAAGCTTGTTACTAAGTTGTAGAATATTTAGTACTTGTAGCTTACTTAATGGTAATTTGATTTAGTTGAATTATAATGTCACTATAGCGTGTAACGAATCGCATATTGATGATTCGACATTGTATACATTTGCATGTGTAACGAATCGCACATTGAAGATTCGACATGGTGTATGCCATTGTAGACTTGAATCCTTAGGGCATGGTTTGTGTGGTTTCACCCTATTTGTGCTTGGTAGATAGTTTCATGCATTGTGCTTGAGTATATATCATGAACTTGTGTTTTTTGAAAGCTTGTAAAGACCTGAGTATATGTTACGGCTAAGGTTCGGCTCTAGTACGGGAGATAAGAGTTTTCCCTATAACATTAAGTGTGTACTAGGTAGTACCTTGTGGGTCGTAATAACCCGGAATAACTTGTATGGTTTTGAGATCACATGTCCTAGTCTTTCCACTACTTAATTTCGCATTCAATTCCAAGTTGTTAATCATGGATTACTTGTACCTTGTGATTTGGTGTTTGCGTTTTCAATTTCATTTAGTATATTTGCGTTTTGTATACTTGCTTCGTATATTTAAATTTCATATAGTATCTTGTGCTTGTATACTTGCTTTACGTGTATTTAAATTCCATTTAGTATACTTGCGTTTTGTATACTTACTTCGTGTGTATTTAAATTCCATTTAGTGTACTTGTACCTTGTATACTCACTTTATGTGTTTTTCAACTCTGTTTAGTATACTTGTATCTTATATACTTGTTTCGGTATATTTAAATTTCATTTAGCATGCTTGTACCTAGTATGCTTACATGTTGCGTATTTCATTTTCAATTGCTTAAATAACTTGAGATGCTCCTTTAATCTCACTTTTGACATAGACGTTAGGTGGAATAAACCACATGGATTGATTCATATTAACTTGCAAAACTTGTAAAAATTTAGCCCTATGTATGTTCATTCCCTACGAGTAATGTAAGTTACTCACCCGTTGAATGTGATTTGTTTCAGGCAAGAAGACGTGGTTTCGGGATGCATAACATCCCTAGGTTGATTTAGTTATATTGAAATTCTTTGTGTAATTTTAAGTACATGCAAGTGTTAGCATGTTTAAGTGTTCTTATAAGGTTGTAATACTTAGCTAAGTTCAATATGTTATTTATGCCTTGTAATATGTAAAGTGTACTTAGATGAACTATTTGAATATCATTTAATATGTATGAAATGAGGCCAATGGCCATTTACCTTTATGTTGCTTTTAAGTACTTTTGATTTCATGAATAGTTATTGAAAAATGAAGATATTGGAAGTTTTAATATGTGATGACCCTGGTTTTTCAAGCCAGTGCGTCTTGTGATGAATCGAAGTTTGACCCAATAACGGATCCGAATGTAGAAGCGAAAATAGAAAACAAGTCTCTAGAGATGGAATGCATCTCTAAGACGCCAAAGTGACCTTCCATAAGGCCACGGATCTCAACGAGAATAAATGCGGAAGCAAAAGATCAGAAAAAGACCAAATAAGCCCCCAAGGGCAAAATAGTCTTTTATATGGAAACATCTCTAGAAATGTACATCATCCCTAAGACACAATCATGACTTCTCATGAAGCCACAGAAACAAAAGGAAAACAAGCGGAAGCAGAGTTTTAAAAATGGACAAGTTTAGCCCCAAGGATAAAATAGTAATTTCCAGCAAGATTTGGGTACTACCGAGTAGACTGTTGGAAAGACAGCGAAAAATAAATTAATCAAGTTAGATTCAAGAATCACTTGATTCAAAGTCAGGATGGAAGAAAAAGTCAAAACAAAGTTTTGACAACACCACGGTCGTGAATAGTGTTTTGATAGTAGTGAATAGTAATCCAAGCAAAATGCTAAAATTCGTATACCGTTTTGAGGCACTATAAGACATTTTCTGAAAAAACACAAAGAATAAACCCCCTTAAAATAATTTGTCAAACTGACCATGTTAAAAGAAAATTTTATTTTTGACGTGAAATTTCCAAAATGTCCTTATAACAGACTTTTTCAAAAAATGCATGTGCGCACAGAAAATCAGATTTGACGTGGGGTTTTGGAGACCGAGGCGGCATTTTCTGGAAAAATATTGTGAAGAAACCCCCCCTAAAATCACATTTTCTATGTGACCATGTCAAGACCGGAACTTATTTTTAAAAATAAATTCCCAAAATGCCCCTAGATTAGATAGGTTAAAAACGATGAAAAAAAATAAACAATTTTGCACCAAGTGTTTATTTGACCCTAAATGGTGTTGTGTGCTAAAACAATCATGCACACAAATGTATTTAATGATTTTAAGCGCGTGGAAATGGTCTGCGGCTCCTAAAAATGCCCAATGCAAAATACGACCTATCCGAACTTCAAAATGCAAAGAAAATGCTTTAAATGGAAAACTTGAGACAAACAAGCATCCATTTCATACAAATGTGATATTTTGTGCAAGATAAGCAATCACACAAATGTAATATACAAATTTACATGCATTCCAATGGCCTACGGCCTTAATGGTTGCAAAATACAAAATATCACTTATTAAACCTCAAATTTTGCAAAAAATGACTTTTAATAGAGAAACTTCAAACTAAAATTATCAAATGGTCTCAAAAGTTTGTTTAGCCATTGGCCACACTTTATACATAATTAAAGGGAACCTATGGAAGTGCTAAAGCCCACTTCCTACCACCCATGCAAATATAATGATGCTAAAGCATGTAATTTTTTTATTTTTCAACAAGAAAGCTTGAAAGTAAAAGTACTTATGATACAAAATAAAAGTCATTGGCTCATGGCCTCATCTCATGCATGTCAAATAAATCACAAAAAGTGTACTTATATACACATTACATATTTAGAACCAAATATACAAGTTTTGACATATAAGACTAAAAATAGCATTTCATGCTAACATTCCCATAAATCATGAACTTCAAGTCTACAAATCATCCATGGCATAATGTGAATCTCGAATCTTGATTCATGTACCTGAAAAATATATCCCCACTACGTGGGTGAGTAACATAAAACTACTCGTAGAAGATGCACATGCATAGACCTAACGTTCACTATAAGAGAAATGACTTGTTACCACGGTGGAAAAGGCTTTCTACCACGGTTTATAACCATGGTAGAAAGTGTATTTTCTACCACGGTACGGAACCGTGATAGAAAGTCGTTCTTTCTACCACGGTTATGCACCGTGGTAAAAAGTCTATTTTCTACCACGGTAAAAAACTGCGGTAAAAAAATAAATTTTCTACCACGGTCCATAATCGTGGTAAAAAATGTTATATAATTTTTTTTTTTTTTTAAATAATAATTTAGCCCTTATGAAGCCTTTTTTTTTTTTTAATTTTTTTTTTTACGCTACTACTAGCCTTACAGCTTCACCAATCCTAAATAAATAAAAAATAGCATGAGAACCAAAATAATTTACAACTAATATATATATATATATATATATATATAAAATCAATTCCAAATCATTGTTTTATACAAAAATTAACCATATACAAATTTGAAAGAAGTACATGATCGACACCTTATATATTTACTTAACCGAAATAAAAAAAAATTCTTCATATCTTCTTGCAACTTCTTGAGCCATACAAAAAATATAGCGGCAACAAAAAAAGTAACGGCAACAGAAACCCGCAATCCTAGCTTTGACCTACAAAGATAGTTGAAATAAGAGAATTAATGTAAAGCAAGTTGTAAAATTGTCAAAATTAAACCAAGCAAAGCAAGCATTATAATAAAGGTACTTTGAAAGATCTAATCAGCGGACTGTTTGACATTATAGAAAATGGATATAGAGTACTTATACATGGATATGAACTCAGTATTCTCTGCATACTAGTATAAAATCCTTTCATTCTTTATAATTAGTGATGTAGAACAGATCAATTAGGGGTAATTAGCAGTAATTAACTATATATATATGTGTGTGTGTGTGTGTGTGTGTGTGTGTTACTTCCATTTACATGTTCCTATTGGAGGAGCATATCGACTGATTGATGTGCCAATGTGTAACTGCATCAACAGTGGGATCAACAAAGTTTACATTCTCACCCAATTCAACTCAGCATCACTCAAAAGATATCTTGCAAGCGCGTACAACTTTGGCAGTAGTGTCAACTTTGGAGATGGCTATGTTGAGGTATATCATTAAACTTCTCATAATGCATAATTTGCAGCTACTCTGAAATAGTTCAAAGACTACATATATTGACAAAATGTTTTAGGTGGCGGCTTATTTTTGGCTGAGAAATTTTCATCATTAAGTGAAGAACGTCTGTATTCTGAGGAGTTTAACATTGGTAGCCGGAATTGGTATGATCAACATTTTCATGTCTTCCTTTAATTCTGGTTGTTCGTAATTCGAAACTGGCTTGTTTGATTCCTAAGGTAAGCTATTGTTTGTGTCCTTTTATAATGAATTTCAGGAATCTTGTTCTCTATCCCAAAGGAGATAGTAGAAAGATCAAACATGAATACATATCTCTGTTTCTTGAAGTAGCTGATTCTGAACAACTCTTTCCTAAACACAAACTGTATGCAAAATTTAAGCTGAGGATAAGGGACCAAGTCAATGGTAAACACCACGAATATGGAGGTACACTCAGCTGCTTTTGATGAACTTGCTTACTGCTGGAGCTTTTTCTTTTGTAGGGGGATTGAATATTTTTTTCTTCTTCTTGTTGATGATTTTTTTATTTTTTGTTTTTTGTTAATTTTCCTTCAAAATTCATCTTTGCAGGTAATGGCTGGTTTGGTCCCACGATATGGAGCTAGAGATTCCAGGCCTTCACGTCTCTAAGGGAACTCCATGACAAATCAAAGGGTTTCTTAGTGAATGGTACTATAATTATTGAAGCAGAAATTGTAATGTTGTCTGAGACTAAGAACTTCACTACTAGCAATCATATCTTGTATGAGTATAATGTCAAAGTGTCATTCAGCTACTAGCAATCATATCTTGTATTTTCAGTTGTTTGAAAAGCATCTAAATGAGAAGCAACAGACATAAAGGATTTTAAGTGTTAGACGATTTTTGTTTAATTAACATCATTCATTGAATGTATCCATCCAGTTGGTTTCAATGTCAGAAGGGGAATCCTTCACCCATGGCAAACAAAGTTCTCATAACAGTGAAGTAAATGAACATATGTGCATACAAACATCAGTTTCCAAGCTTCTACGTCATTTTCCGTATGTTGATTCGTTATTTTTAGATGACTAATTATCCTTGCCTTTGGTAGTTTGTGATTTAATCCAACGACCTACTTCATGTTTATAAGGTTTGGATTTGATTCTTCAAACCCTTTGTTAAGTTGGTGGGGCTATGACTGCTGGTAGGAGCTAGATGTAAAAAGGTCTCCATAAATAGGGTTGTCTAATGTCTATCCTTTGTACTACGCTTGTGCTATCTTCATGTTTTTCTCCTGAATTTTATCTATCAAATATGAAAGGGTAACAAACAGTGCTTTGACTTTATTAAATAGTCAAACCCACTAAACTACTAAAGTGTTGATTTTGATGGACACTAATTAAAAAAAATGGTCACTTAAGGCACGTGACCCCCTATACACCGCAAAATTGGTCACTTAAAGGCACATGACCCCCCACCCCCCCTGACCATGAGTATAAAAAGCATTAAAAATGTGCAATCATAAAAGAAATGCTTCACTTACAAATTTTGATGTACTTGATAGGCCATGCAATTGAAAATCCTGTAACATATGCGTCTTTCAAATCAAAGCCACGAATTTCAGGCCTGTATAAGGGCACACTGGAATCAATGAGGTCAATGATCCATACTCTCCAACAGTTGGATCCATTGAATCAATCACCCCCTTGGCGACAACTGATTTTGTCCCATGAAAATGCAATAGCTCACAAGACTTGCCGACCAAATCTTCAGAAGGTGAGTCTTGATGTGAAGCAATGGGAGAGGACTGGTTGTTAGCATTCTGTCCAAAGCACAATAATGGAAAAAAAAAAAGAGAGTAAATAATGCTTCTCATAATTAGTGTTATAATTAGAGAGATATCGTAACAAATTTATAGAGATTTATTACCAAAGATTGAAGTAGTTGCATCATTTGATCTTGCCTTTCATAGAATATCTCCAAAACCAATGATATCAAGAAAGTGGTATTATTACTTCATGTGTCAAAAGAGCTTTTGGAATTACTCTGTCCAAACAAAACATAATCATATTTCAAAATATTCTTCTTATTTAGAAACCAAATCTTCAATGTTAAAACAAATATATATATATATATAAACATACCTAAGAATATGACAACCACCATCAAAAACAGTTTTAGAGATCAATCCCATTAGACCAACACTGCCTCCACCATATACCAGATCAATTTTTCTCTCAACCTGACAAATTAAGTACCATGTAAGAAAATCCTAACTATATATAAGAGAATTTTAATAAAAGAATGAAAAGAAGACAATAAATGAAGAGAGAGAGAGAGAGAGAGACTACTCCTGCCTCTTGGAATAGTTAAATAGTGTGTGTGTGTCTATATATATATATATGCACACACACAAACACACACACATGTACACACAGTACCAGTTGATTGCCAAGTTCAAGTGGATTTGTATCCTGCTTTGCTACCACAGAAGACACAAATTCTCTTAAACATTATTTTGTTTAAGAGAATAAAACACATTTAATCACACAAAAACACTAATAAATCAACCTGTATATAACAATTTTTCATGAAAAAAAAAAGAGATTAACAAACACAAGAGAAATTAGGTGAAAATACGAGTCAAAATTAAAACTCTCATTAAAAGAGGGGAAAAAATCATAAAAACAAGTTGGGACCATCAACCAACAAATCCTAACGCTTTGTCAGTGTCTCCATCCCTTTCCTTTATAGAAGTCCACGTTACAAGAAAAAATCTTCAAACTGTTAATTTTATTAACTGAACAATCTTCTTCATCTATCATTTAATTACACACATTTATATATATATATAGAGAGAGAGGGGGTTTGATGAGTGGTGACCCCACTGTGCTTTTGATTCTTTCAATCTGAGGGTTTCGAAGATGCTTTCGTTGCAGAGCGATGCTCGCAATTTCATGTCAAAATTAAAACTCTCGAGGAAAAAATCATAAAAACAATCAAAAAATAAAATAAATCCTTTGTTTTTCCTGTTTTAGTTCTGATCAAAAATCAAATATTCAAATCCACTTCAGAGTTTAGAGTGTCAGAGGAAAAAACAAAAACAAAAAATAAAAAACAATTTTGATTAAGCAATCAAAAAAACCCAGCACATAATTAATGTCTTATGAAGGTACTCTCAACTAATTATAAAACAAATCATTTGCCATAAAAATAATAACTACAATACACGGATATTACTCATCACTCTTACTTCTTCAAACACCAATAATCAGAACTTCAAAATCTATCAAATTTATAGTGAAGAGAATTAATGATAAACGTTATGAAATTTTTTTGACGTGTAACCTTACATTTCAATATTTTTCTAATGTGTATTCCAATATTCTCCTCACCGATTGAAACAAACAAATACATTGTAGCGCATGAGAGGATTTTTATCTCTCTATGTCATGAATAACAAGAAGAAGAAACAAATTGTTTTATCTACCCAATCTCTCTCTCTAACAATTTTTACATGAGAGAGTTGACAGGTTAAGAAATGCACAAGAAGGAAGGAGCAAAGAATGCCCATTCTCAAGTAATTTCAAAGATAATGCTTTTTTCTATTTTCGTTAATTTATCTCAAAGCTGAAAATGAGTGATGGATTATCACTTTATTTCTGAAAAAAATAAAATAAAAATGGATAATTACATTTAACTCCCTAACAGATTGTCTAAATAACATAAATTACTTTGACCCAATGTGTTAAATGATTATTATGCTCATTATACAAATATATATTCCCATACGAATAAGAGATTTAAGTAAAGGTATTCTCGAATTTTAAGTAAATATTGGATATGACATAAGCAACAAGAGTTTTTATAAAGATTTATGTTATTTCGGTAATCTAGAAGGAATATGGGTATAATTATGCCATAAAAACAATTAGAAAGGCAAGTTGACATATACCACAATAGTTGTATCAAAACACACACATACATCTACAAAAATATGCATATACATATATATATATATGTATATATATAGTTTACCTCAGAGGACATATCAGCAACAAGGGGGGCAACAGCTACAGCACCGCCCAACCTGCTCATACTCAGAACCTGAACACACACACAGATGCAGCAATGGAATTTTAGAAGCCCATCATCTATATATAACTCATTTTTTTTAATTTTAAAGCCCATACCATACAATACATCTATATAAAGTACTACAGATTCTCTCAGAATTTGTTAAACTAGAAAGAAGCCTTTGTATAACCCATAAAAAATTTGTATATAGAAAGTAGTAACATTATATATATATATATAGAGATCGAGAGAGAGAGGCGTACTTTGACTTGGAGCTGGAGGAATTTGACATAGTCGATGATCTCATCTCGCATTGAAGCCTTGTCGGTCTGTCATTCCAATCCACAAACATATCAAAACAAAGATATTACTATAATATATTCCTATCTGTTGAAATTCAAACAGGTGACTTAACTGTGTGTTGACAGACAGACAAATAAACAAACAAAAAAGAAGAAAAGAAGTATCAGATTGATGAATGTTAGTAATAGCATCAAATTACCTTTGTAACGAATATATATATATATATAACCCACCAAATTAACCACTCTCTGTTAGAAGTATGGGGAGAATCCCATACCATACCTATTTGAGTATTAAATTGATGAATATAACAGGGGATGAAAATACAAACCTCAATTCATGTCCTTCGAATTTAGGGCTTCGAATGAGAGAGGGAGCTAGGGTTAGGGCTTGGAGAAAAGGGCGAATCCTTGTTCAATCTCGACGCCAATCAGCTGTGCCATTATCTTATCTGCTCTGACCGTCGATTCAACCCTCAGTGGCTTCGGTAGATGGGTTGGGCTTGGAGAGAAAGAAGAATGACGGCTTGGACGGTCTGAGAGAAAGGGGGTGGCCGGCTTTCTTTTCATCTCCTTGCTCTGCCTTATTATCATCTGCCTTCTCCGGCGGCTTCTCCTCGGCAGCAGGCAGCGGTGGAGCTTCCTCCTGCGTTGCTGCCTCTGTATACATTGATTTCAAGAATTTCAGAGGCCATAGACTTCGAATCGTGAACCAGATCGAGAAAGGGGCAGCTGGCTTTTTAGATATATGTTTGGTGTGTGGTTTCTGTAGTAGTATATATATTTTACATATATATATATATATATATATATATTTTATTGACACTAGCGGGAATAAGACCCGCCAAAGGTAAGTGAAAATTTTGACTTTCTACCGTGATTTTGAAATAATCGTGATAGAAAGACCACCAATGAATTAGTAATTTATGGTAAAATCATATATTTTCTAACAGGGTTATTTTAAAATTGTGGTAAAATAACCCGCCTAAAACACATTCAAAATAATTCACTTTCTACCATGGTTATAAAATAATCGTGGTAAAATAATATACTTTCTACCACGGTTATTCATTAACCGTGGTAAAAAAGTTCTTCTACCACGGTTTTAAAATAACCGTGATAGAAAGTATATTTTTTATCACGATTTTTTTTAAAATCGTGGTAAAAAAAACGTAGTAAAAAACTGTTTTTCTTATAGTGGTTTTATTGGTCCTTAAATTGATATTAATCAATACATACAGTCCACACCACCTAGGGTTTATGTCAAAAGTGAGACTCAGAAAGCATTCTAAGCTACCTTAAAGCATTTCTAGCATAAACCACAATATTTATGCAAGTAAACAATATAGGGGCATACAGTAAAATGTAACAAGATATAGGTTATCAACTTGGAACCTAAAATGCGAAAACGAATAAACAATACAACTTAGCATATTTGGAACTTCCTATACAATGCAATAAGACATAGGTTCACAAGGTTATCATCTTGGAATTTAAAATACGAAATCGAATAAATGTGGATCATCTCAATTACACAAGTTATTGAAGTGATAAATCCAAAGCATACAAGTTTACAAGTACTAGTATACAAAACCGTAAAAAGGCTTTATGCATCGATTCACAAATGACAAATAAGTAATGAATAATAACTTGGAATTGAATACGAAATCAAATAGTGAAAAACTTGGATATCAAATCGGATCAGATCGACAACCATAGCTATTTTGGGTTACTAGCCCGCCGGGAACTACCCTAGTGCGCAAGTGTGGGAAGAGCTAATCTTTCGCCCTAGAGCCACACTCTAGTCATATCGAACAAACGACATCCCACATTTTCCAAAATAAACAAATTGTGCAACAAAGTATATATTATTATTATTATTATTATTATTATTATAAGGTAATAAACTACCTAATATGTACAAACCAATTTTGGAAACACACAATACATGCTCTAAGTCCATAACTATTATGGTATGGAAAATGTCGAATCTTTAGTGTACGATTCATTACACATATAATGTCCAAAATTTTTTTGTTTTTTTTTTCAAAATTTTATTTTACTTTATTTATTTAATTTTTGTACATCGTTTTGCGCACCGTGTGGGTCTCAATATTATTTTCCATAGCATGTGTGTACTTAGTTATATGATAATGTGTTTTATATATGTTTATACATATATAGTTATATGACTTGAGGTGGAGAGGGATATTTTATGGCATGGCAAGAGAATTTTGTGAGCTTGGAGGGCATTTTTAACATTTGATGTAGTGGTGGACCTTTGACCACATGAGAGCCATTCAATTTGGAGGAGACAAGGTCAATATATGACCATAAATCTCATTTCCTCTCCCTCACTTTTGGCCACACTCTCTCTCTCTCTCATCCATTTTACTTCATCTCTCTAAAATCTCAGATATCTCTCTAGATTTTGAGATAACTAAGGTAAGATCTAGGAAGGGAGGAAGAAGGAAGGTTGTTCTACTCTACAAAGTCTACATTTCTATACCGATCTTGCATGCATTTGGGGATTTTTGAGTTGGAGTTCTTGGCTCTAGGATTACTTTCTTGAGGTAGGGAGGTCTAACTCATTATGCTTTGCCTTCTTTTTGAGCTTAATGTTTAATTTCTTGAAAAGCATGATCTATGTGCTTATGTGCTAAAATTATGTGTAAATGTGATGTTAGTTGTGTATTTGAAGGTAAATTGTTGAGAAGCATGCTATATATATAAGTGTTTTCTTGAGAACATATTTATGATGATGTTGATGATGATAATGGTGATGAGCATGATAGCTTAAATTAATGGAATTGCAAAGTATGGAAATTATTAATATTGAAAATGCATAATTCCATTCATGACATGGACATGGATGGGGAATTTAGGGTGGAAAGGTCATCACACGATTCGGGTTGGAAAGTTTTATGGAAAGAAAGAATGTTCTAAATGTTTTGAAAGGAAAAAGGTTTTGGAAAAAAAAAATGGTTTTGTGAAAGGAACCGGGTTTCACGAGCCTGGGGCTAATTCAACCTAGAGGGAACGCATGCTGGATTTGGACGTGTAACATTGATTGTTAAGCCCCAAATAGTTGCCAGATTTTGAACTAGGGATGACTAATCAATCTCGCCTCGGTAAAGTCGGTTAGCGATTTTCGGTGTGAATTTGGATGGGTTGGGACCGTGTTGGGATGGTGTTGCATTCATGTCATTATTACATTCATATGCATGGTTTAATTTTTTTGAAGAATGTGTTGTTAATGTATTATATTGATTGCGTTTTGACATCCCAATTAATGATCCTAACTTCTTTCTCTCCCATTTCTTGCTTGTCGACTCAAGGGAGTCCAAAGCCGGTGCTTTAGGCCCTTTCTACTGAGCTATTAAGCTCACCCTTTATCTTTAACATTTTCAAGAAAGACGGAGAAGAGATTTGGCGTAAGGTTTGCAATTACGGACTTAGACAACGCTAAGATGTTTATTATATTGTATTGTAACCTTATATTTACAGCCATGGCGGCCTCGTTTATGTACTTAATTACTTGAAATTGTGTAAAGACGATTTATATATTTTGATTCACAAGAGATGTATAAAAGATGTTATTTTAACGATTCTATGAAATATTTAGGGGTTGATGATGTCCATGGAGTTTTAATTTCATGTTTAGATATTTTGGGATTGCACTGGAATGGGTTTGGGAAGCAAGAATTTCGTTATTTTTATCACTGGGTATCATCTAACCGGTTAGATGGGGGTATCTACCCGGTTAGATGAATGGGTAGTGTGTTGGTTTGATGGGTTCTTCTCATCTTAGTGCTTAGAAAGAGTTTCCTAACCGATTAGATAGGCTTTTGTGTGTTCAACTACCCGGGTAGGAGATTCCTTGTACTCGGTTAGATGTATGGGGCAGAGAAGGGGTTAGATGATTTTCATTATCTAACCGGTTAGATTAAGTTTCTTAACCGGTTGGATATGATTTTTTTTACGATTTTTCCACTGCTTATTCATGTACTCGATTAGAAGAAATTTTCTAACCAGTTAGATGTGATTTGAAATCTTGTAAGCCTACTGGACCATTCATCTACTCGGTTAGGAGAAATCTTCTGACCGGTTAGATGAACTTATGTTTTCACAAGGACTCCATATTTTAATATAATTGCCCAATGACCCCCAGGCCCCAACTAAAGTATAGAATGTACCTAGAAAATGACAAAATTACCCCCGAAGGTTATGAATGTTGTAATTTGACCAGAAAGTGACTATTTTGCCCCTGAGGAATTTCATATCACTTTTTGGCCATGGTAAAAGTCTATTTTACCCTTTTTGGGTTTATTATTATTATTTGATAAAGTAAAATGACCTTTGTACCCCTAATGAGTTATGAAGCTATAATAAATGTACTAAATGACTGGTTTACCCTTGTTAAACCTTAAACCATTATTTGACCATAGGTGATGACCATTTTACCTCTATAGACTCTATAATTATTGTAATGACATGAAATGACCATAGTACCCTTGTGTAACCTCGGGTTCGGGTAAGGACCTAGTTAGCAATCCGAACCCCCAGGTTTGGGTCATTACAGATTTGGTATCAAAGCGCTTTAGGTTCGAAAACCTAAGGACAACGGGTAGGGTTGACCTAAGTGGGACTTGAGTTAATTTGAAAGTATTACATGTTAAAGTGTTTACTGTTTTACGAAGCATGCTTACCTATTACTTGCCTATTTGTTTACGATTTTGAGAGACATGCTTGCTTGCTAAGTGTTCCCATGCTTATGTGTTTAAATGCTAAAATATGTGTTACATGGCTATGTATACATGATAATTATATGATCTAATTATGTAAATCAAATGTGAAAGTAATTGAAAGCATGTTAACTATGATACAATGGCAAGCATGAGGTTTATGATAGTGACAAGTGGTAGGTGATGAGCGCTGAATATATGCATATTCGAGCGTATATGTTAGGATCTAAAGTGATACTTCTATCCATAATTAGACTAATTTATATTTAATGTGTGTTTGTAGGTACTTTCTCAGATAAATGGTTAAAGCCGGGACTTTATAATGATATCGAAGCTTACAGAGTCATTGCCGGTCAGTCAAAGCAAGCCAAGAGTTGAAATGATGAAGTTTGAAGTAATTCAAGCTCTAGAGCTCAAGCCCAAGTGTTACGGCTCGAGCATTACAACAAAAAAGAGAAGAAAAGTCAACAAGGCCTAAATACTAGAGCCTCATACCTTGATGCTCGAGCCTTACTTCAGGGTGGTCAAGCCTTAACCAAGGGTGCTAGAGCCTTAACCAAGGGTACTTGAGCACCAGCCACTTGAATTGAGCAATGTTAAAGGAGTTCAACCCCAAAAATATTCTAAGTGTTGAAGAAAAAGATGCTTCAAAAAATAGTTGAAGAAAATTGGTTAAGTGTCAATGTGATGATCGAGCATCATTTACTAAAGCTCGAGCATCTATCAAGAGAAGCTCGAGCAGTGTTCCTTATGCTTGAGCATGAACCCTAAAGCTTGAGCATCCGTTCCTGAAGCTCGAGCCTTCCATAACATGTCCGATTAAAAGCTGCGGAATTACTCTTTTTACCAGCCGTATCTCATCCCAGTTGAGCCAGAAGACCTAAAGGCCCACCAAATATTATTTTCTTCATAAAAGAAGGCACAAGCCTTGATAGAAGGGGTCTAAAATTTCAATTGTTTTTTACGGTGTTATTCAGAAGGCTGAAGGTGTGGTGGCTTTTAGGGTTTCTACAACCT